CCCCCCCGGCCGGGGGGGGGGGGTGGGAATTTCGGGGAGTTGAAGTCCACACATCTTCAAGCTGCCAAGGTTGAGAAACACTGGATGCAAGTAATGTTGTAGCACCATAATGCAAGCTGTATCTCTTTTCTATGTGTTTTGAAACATCGCACACATGCCCAAAAGGGATGGCGCTTATGCCACAAATTTACTGTACTTTTGTCATTCTGACAAAAGCAGCGAGTCTGCTGACTGTGTATATGAGATAGAGCATCTCTTTCTCATGGGTGTGGATTGATGTGGATTCAGCAGCTGTGCCTCCCTAGCAAGCGAGGAGACTACATTCACAACACCTACATATTGTGCTTCAGTATGTCTTGTGAACATAGCTGCCAAAAGGTATGTACTAGAAAGCAAAAGCGGTGAATAACTTCAGCAGCATATATACCAATACTGGAACAATAGCAAGTCCCTGTATAAGGACAATACACAAATTCAGGAAGTATTTCATTATTCTGTCCGAAACCACTCTTCTTGCACCTCTAAATGGTTCCCTTTTCTCCCAGTTTCTCAGCTTTGGTGTTACCAGCGGGAGTAGAGGTTCAAAAGCATGTACTCCATACAGGTTATCTGCACTCTCCATTTTCTCCTACCTACCTTATCCAGGAGGACAAAGCATATAAGATCAATACTTCACATGTTTCTAAACAGATATTTTTGTACCAATAGAAGATAATATATGTAGCTCAGGGTTGAACTGTGGAGTCCTTGGGGTTCTCTGAGCTTGGTTATTTTCTTGCAAACGTTTCATTACCCAGCTAGATAACATTACTGAAGTTTTAACTGCATTAGGATGCTGTATAATTCCCTGTGTTAGGGGATTAGCACAAAGGTTGATTGAGACCGCCATATCCAAGCAAATGCCTATAAATCCCCCACCATACAGTGATAACATGCTCCTCTTAGAAGAATTGGCAGAAAATTCTGAGGAAAGGGAGTGCAAGAATATGCTTTCCAGGCTAGAATCTAGGCTAGAAACATCACATGAAATATTGTCTTAGTAAGTTGCAAAAAGGAACAAATGTATATAAAAGAAAAAGGGGGAATTGTGAAAAATGATAAAGTGTTGTTTTTGCAGTCAAAGCTAGCTCAAAGGTATCATGTTCAAACAGGATGACCTTACGGTCAGAGCAGAATGCCTTTGTTGATCTACTTAAGTCGCTAATGCTTGCATAGACAGTGCCTAGCATAAGATTTTCTATAGGAAATAGGCTTGCAGTAAGGCTAGCAGGAAGCAAGTAGCTTAACCACAGGGAGACAGGAAGCATCAGACAAGCTTAGACACCGGTGCATGAAAACTTAGTTAGGAAGCTGTGCCATAAAAGGGAATAAATATGGGCAAGGGGCTCTTCAAATAAGAGTAATGGGAGATGTAAACGGGCGGAGATTCATGTGGGTAGTTCAGGCGCTTCGGATAGGCTGTAAACCTTGCAGTACCCAACCAATGGGGAAACAAGAGAGGGTACCAGCGCCCGGGGAATAGGGAATAAAAGGCTGAATGTTTTGTGAATGGGTGTGCCTACTTGATAGGACACCCGCTCTTGCAAGAACGTTAAATAAAGTTCTCCTGCTTCACTGTGCAGTGGTGTCTGATCTGAGTCTTTCCATAAACTGGAGTATTTCTAACACACATGACCCAAAGTGGTGGAGCATATAATGTAATGCTTTTATCATTCTCTTAAAAGTGGCAAGCTCCTATGGATGTACTGAGAATATATTATAAACAGTGTGTTGTCCCTCACTTCAGTCCATTGACTTTCCCTACAGGTTTGGTACTATGTACTACATTAGTGCTGTCTCCCTCCCCAAGTCCTCCACAATGGTAATGTTGTCTAAGAAAGCTGGGGTTGCCCTACTGGTATCCTCTTCATTCAGACTTAGTTCACAAATCCCAAAAAGCCATGGCTTGTCTAACTATGCTTTATTAAATACATTGCAGTTGTCTGGATTTGCATCTATTGTTAGCCTATAAACAGTGATTCACAAAGCACAGTAGCTAGATTCCCCCAAATCCTAAGTCAAAGGAAGACCTCGTGCTTGACTATTGTGCAAACCCAGGCTGTAATAATTATTTTTGGCTTAGTGTGTTGTGTGAAAACTGCCATTGTGAAGCGTGTTTATGGCTTAACACAATGTATGAACACAGCTAACTGCAATTTATCTAACATGACTACTCAAACCATAACTAGGCACTCTTTGTAAACTAAGCTAATGACAACTACAAGATGGGCAGAAATTAAAATTTTAGCAATGCTGGGAAGCTACCAGCCACGATGTGAAGTTTTCAGAGAGGAAAAACAAGAGAACCAGCGCTATAGCCCATAGCAGCGCTCGGGGCTCTTCTCATGGAAACCGTTGCTTTCTTCCTCGTGCACAGTAAGCCGCTTCGGGTACTAATTGGTGAAGGGGTCGCACTCAGTCAGCGCTCAAGCTGTCTCTCTCCTTTTTGATAGTTCTATAGTCGTGGCTTAGACGCGACCAATGACGTTGTTGAGCCAACGGGCAACGAGAAGAGGGCGGGACTTTTCAGCTTCTGCCGCCGCCGCCGTCCCCCCAGCTGGCAGTGACGCCACGTGACCCCAGGCGGCGGGCCCAGTGGTGGTGATGGCGGCGACTTCTGCTGCGCTCTCGCTGCGCGTGATAGCCGAATGCGGGCAGAGCAGGGCTCGTGCTTGTGAGCTACGGCTGCCGCATGGCCCCGTGGATTGCCCGGTCTTCATGCCTGTCGGCACGCAGGGGACCATGAAGGGGCTCACCGCCCTGCAGCTGGATGCGCTGGGATGCCGCCTGTGCCTAGGCAACACCTACCATCTAGGCATGCGTCCCGTGAGTCGAGCCTTCCGCATAGACTTGTAATTTCTAGAGTTGTACTAGGCGAGAAGTCCCCAGTCTTCGGGAGAAAGCTACAGTTTTAGTGTAGTTGCCTTGGACAACCTGTTATTGGGACCTAGTAGGAGAAAGTTTTAACGTATGTACAAGTTTTTAGCAGTTTAAGGCGACAGTGTTCCCGGGACATCTGCAGTATTTGATCGAGAGAGGGCATCCCAAGCCAGCCTCTGGCCGCGTCTTTGAGTTAATGGAGACATTAACGTTAGCCGTAGCTAGATTTTCACAACATGTTCTATCAAGCTACGCTGTACTCTGCTTATTTATGTCTTAGCATTTATGCGGTTTACGTTTTATGGGAATCATTCAAGTATACTTTATTAAAATCATGGTTAAACAAACCATGGCTTAATACGTTCTGTGAATACAGCATATGTTCTCTTTTGGTCTTAGTCTGAACTTCGGTCTGAAATTAATGCATTTATAGGATTGTTACTGATCAAATATCCGGGGCTTTTGCAACACAATGAACCATAAACTAGCTATGATGGCTGTATTTAGACAATACAGTGAAACCACACATTCTGACTGTACTTGAGCTGTTAGCTTGTTTTATGAATTCACCTATTGCAGCTAGCTTATTCAGTGTGTTGCAAGAACTCAGGATATTAGATCAATTGTGTCAAAGTTAATCATGGGATAAGTTTATTATATGATGACCACCATTCCCTTTCCACCTTCTCACTGTGTAGTATGAAATTGGTGAAATGCAGTGATATTAGGACTATTGAGGAAATTACAAGAAAACAAAACAAGTTAGAAAACGTGCTAACCCCTCTGTTTGCTGTTGATTTACTATATTGAATTTGGTTTCTATGGGGTTTATGCCTAGGAGATTATCTGAGCTAAAATATTGCTATTGGTTGAAGTATCTAGTGTATTTGAGCAAGGTATCTTTCTCTTCATCTGATTCCAATTCTTAAATTTTGCTTTGGATTTTGATTATTAAGTTAGTTTGCATGTTTGTACACCCCATCAGCATGTGTCCCTGTTCTGTTTTGTTTCCAATAAGATACATGGATGGATTATAATTCAGTTAAAGGAGATAATTAACATTTATATAGTTTCAAATGTTTCATATTTATCTTGTGCTCTGTAAAATGGAATCACTGTATTGCAACTGATTATGAGTATTTGAGAATTACTAGCTTACCTAGGATTCATAATAAGCATACAGTGAAGGTAACAAATAGAACCAGGGATTTCTTCGTTACTAGCTTAGTTTGATAACTACTGTATCATATCATATCCAGTGTAGTCTGTCTTTCTGTTTGTTTGTGTTTGACCTCTGAAGTATACATAGGAGTGTTACAGTGGCACAAATCATCAGAGATGTTGTGTCTGTCCCCTATCCTTTTTAGTTTGCTTAAAATTGTTGAAAGCATAATGCATCTATTTTGGAGTTACTTTAGTGTGATCTTGCCAAGGTCTGCAAAATGTGGCTCAGCCTTGCATTTAGCATAGTTTAATTGTGGTTTATTGAATAAAGCCCAACTGTATGGGATCTGACAACATACTAAATTCATAGTTTGTAAGCAGTAGTGGGTAGGTTTAAGCAATAGGCTAAGGATCTTTGGCACTAGTAACTTGATAGGCACTCATGATGATCTTTCATGCTGTTCCAGGGACCAGAACTTATCAAAAAAGCTAACGGACTCCATAGCTTCATGAACTGGCCAAGAAACCTACTCACAGTAAGTATGAATATGACTGAGGAGGTTGTCTGTACCTGGAAAATCAACCCTTTTGCTATAGTTGAGCTTTGTTGACAAAAATAAGAAACAGTGGCCTATATGGCAGGTATGGAAGTAAACATGGGGTGTGAGAGAGATGGTGAACACATGGATGATCCACCTGCATGTGGAATTGTACTGTTCAACTATGGAAATGTTTGATGAACCAGGTAGTTATATTGTCTTCCCAAGCAGTGAGAAGATTTTTAGTACACTCTCCATCTGATCAAAAACCCAGGAAAGCACAACTGGCAAAATTTTGTTCACCATGTATAGTAATCACATGACAAGCTTATGTATTCATTAAGTGCTTGTGTTGTATACACATGCTTTATAAATGAAGGTCTTGGGTATGCACCCCAGTCCGGTGTGTTTTTCCTTGAAAGCTAGTCTCATTGCTTTCAGTGGAGTTAATCCCAGGTGAATATGTGTAGAATTGTAGCCTCAGTCAGTAACTGCATATTTTGAGCAGAGAAATCTAAATCTCAGTAAATGTGAGGTGTGAGGATATGGAAAGATGTACCCTTATTACCTCAGTAAAATGAATGGTGTGCTGTATCATGTTGAGCAGGGAAGGGAGGCAAAACAGCTTGCTTGAAGAAAGCCAGTGAATTTGTAGCCACAACGATTAGCATTGTGCCCCATTTCAAAAGGCCTGTTGGCACACCCAGCAATAATCCTTGCTATTTTCAGTCTCCAGAAATCCTGAAAGCAGGGAGTTGGGCGGTCTTAGGCTACACATTGGCAGCTTGCTGAGCAGCCCTGAGCAAAACCAGAACTGCATCTTATACAGTGCATTCGGAAAGTATTCAGACCCCCTTCACTTTTTTCAATTTTGTTATGTTG